CTCCACCAGTCTGGAGTTCTCTTGAGCAAAGCTCTCCATGTTTAACCTTCCTAGGCAGACTTTCAGATTAAGTTCGCATATACTGGGAAAGCAGAGAGTACAATTTGCTCCTGTTTGACATAATCATAGGCTGTCCCGGCGCCTGGAACAATGAATGCCTTAGGATGGGTTTTGCTGTCAGATCATAATACCGCCTTTCACAAAAGCTCTTCCCACTCTCACCATCACTGTGTCTGACATTGTGAAAATGTGATGAACCCCCAGAGCTCTCGGCAGCGGTGCACTGATATCATAAATGTGTTTATTCAAGCTGCATCAACCTGCAATAACTATGAGGAGGAATATTCTCTCTGATGCCCATTCTTCGGCCATATTTTTAGGATAAAAGATTGGGGAAAGGTATTTCGTTACTCCCAACACACCAAAGGCGCACTGAGAGCCCCTTTTACTCATGTTTACACAGTGCTAAAGCTCTAGTTATGCCATTTAACTCCTCTAATAAACCACAGGGGTTTCACAAGGAGGTTGCAGCACAGCCTTAAGAAAAAGGAAGAAAATTAGTTGAGCCACAGAGAGAGACAAGAAGGATTGCGCTGTCATCAAACCCGGACTGCTTCCAACAGCACTTTTCTCTCCTCAGTGGTCTGAGATCCCAGAAACCGGGAGTGACGTTTCAGGCTTTCAGTGAAGCCAGTGCTGCTGGGAAGTGCTTTGAAACTCGCTCCGGTTTCGGAACATCGCAACGTGACGGACAAAGACCTCAGAAGCCTGCTGAAAGGAAGAGCTCAGAAAACACATTTACATGAGACTGGAAGAAGGGTACACAAGGGGCTGATGGCAAAACCCCGCTCCTCGACACCCAGAGATACCCCTGTCGTGACATGTGCTAAAAAGACATGGATCATTGGGTCTTTATGTGGAGAAACCCAGGGCTGACTCAGGTTGGTAGGAGAAGGAGAAGGCAAATGGTGAGACCCTGCCGTACCTTGCAGGGGGTGTTTTGCAGAGCTGTGTGTGCAGCCCAGCTGGGGAATTCCCCAACACAGGGAAACCCTCTAGCAGAGCCCAGCTGCTGACCCTGCTCCCAGGCGGGCCGCTGCCCTCCCCATCTCTGTCCTGGGCAGCAGCCCTGCTCACAGCATCACACGGGCACTACCAAAGCCTTGGGCATCTGTAAGACACCACAAGACCACGCTGAGTAGAGGTAGAACCCAAACCCTGGGGTGGTCGAGCCCTGTTTGCAGACTCAGCCTTCTTTCCTGCCTCCTCCCTATGTGGTTACAGCTAGGATTTTCACTGCTTGGGTGAATATCCAGCCTCACTAGATTCAATCATGCCAGCTGGTTTTAGCCATTCCTGTTGCTTCCTTTCAGCCAGTGATCCCCTCTGCAGCTTCCCGAGTAACAAGTTGCTTTTTTTTTTTTCCCTTTTTTTTTTTTTTGTATGAATTTGGACATTTAAGGGCACTTCACTTGAATGAATCAATGCAGCAGTGTTCTTACAAGTACTTCCTCAGAGTGCATGAACAGGTATGCACCGATGGAGCAGGCTGGACCACTTGGCAGCTTCACCATCTGACAGGTGAAACAGGTGAGGGGCTAAATCGATTTCAAGTCCGGTTTTAGAGCATTTATTCCTTCGCCACTGTACCACACACTTGCAAAAATATCTCTGTTGTCAGAATACTTCAAACTTCCTCATCACTGAAAATCAACTTTTTTAAAGTACTCTGAACCACACCAAGATATTCCAGTGGTAGGAATACCAAGATTTGTGTTGGAAAGGCTAAACTAGCAATGCTAAATTAGTTCATGCTACATGTTAGGACTATCTGCCTTCCTTGGCATTAATCTTGGAAGATTAATGCGTGATGGGAAGGCAGTTAAAGCAAACAGTGAGTATGAGGCATATGAAAGCAGAGAGAGTAAACCAAGTGAAAACGACCCAATTTTCTACTGATTTGTTCAATGAGTTATGGCAAGTAATTTTTTCCTTGTGCTATTTATGGGGTTTCCCGCTTCTAAATGTTACCACGGTCACTGTGGTGTGACATTAATTTGTTTATATAACCTCTGAGTTGCACATAAAGACCCAGATGTTATTTCAGAACCACTGCACTTGGGGAAGATTTTCTAAAACCTGCACATCAAAACTTCATGGAACAGTGATTTTTTACCATAACAGTGACAGGGCCTCTTTCAGAGAAGGGCACAACACTAACCGTCCTGCCATGAAGAGATGGTAGCTCGGCCTCACTGATGCTCTGCTCCCCTTGAAGCTGCAATTAGGCTTCAGCCTTGTAACACGCTTGTTTTAACTGCATGTTCCATCGCTTCTTTTCATACCATGCACCAGAAAAAGAAACTGATGGGTTTGGTTTAGTATTGGATTTAATTAAAATAAACCTAAGACATTAAGAGCTCAAGAGCACAGTAGAAAGTATAAAACAGTATGTATTTATTGCATCTAGTCCAAATATTAGTTAACTTAAAAAAAAAAATCTGCATTTTTCCTATATCTTTTTTTGTGGCTTAAAATTGGTAAAAACCTCTATGAGTATTTACTTTATGGTAGCACTGTAACTTCTTTGTAGCCTAAGGTATCATATGCAAAATACTACTCAAATCCAAAAAGTGTATTAAAACTCTGGGCATAAGATGTCTGGAAATTTTACTGCATCTCAGCCCCTGTTAACTTTTTTTCTACAATATAAAGCAGAATAACATTTTACAGAAACTCATTTCATGAATGAAGCTGTCCTACATTAAGTATTTCTTGGTTGAAATTACTAACAAAGAAGTAAAAATACTCATAGATGTATTTTAGGCCTAATGGATTGACTGATTGACAGCCTTGGGGAACTTCACCTGTGCTGTCCGAGCGGCAAGCTGAAGGCAAACATTTATCACAACCCAGCAGAGTGTATTCTGACTTCGTTGTATTAGAAAAAAAAAAAAAAAAAAAAAAAAAAGTTTGTACTTGTTACAGAGAGGAACAGCCATGAACAAGGATGTTCTTTTGCTTTTGGTGCTTCATATGCTTGCAAATCTTCAGCAGAGACCTTTGATAAATCATTCTTTTTTACCAGTTAATTTGTTATATTGGAAGTAAAGATTAAAAAGTAAAAAAAAGAAAAGTAAAACTACGTCGTATTTCAACTTCCACGTTTTGCATACTGGGCACTGAACAAAATCTAACTACTTTCCTGAAGGTAAAAGTAATTTCACTGGTATTTCCCCCATAGAGCTCCTTTTTACAGGAGCAGCATCAACGAGATCTCAAAATGCTCTAAAGGAACTCCTTAACTTTAGGGAGGAAAAGAGGATCACAAAATAAGACAACGGTATTTCTGTAAGCAGCAGTAAGCCCAATATAATAAAATTTTAGTGCATAGAGTACTGTGACCTACACAGTATAAATGAATTTATTCTTCATTTGGCCCCATGATTTTCTTGGATTTTTGTTTTTGCAACTTGTAGTGAAAAATTAACAGCATCTCTATGTTCACATGCCACTACTACAGTAGGTTTGGACTTACTGTAATACTAGCACTCTTGCCAACCTCCCAAAGCAAACTTCTAAGGAATACTGAAGAGTGGATGATTTCTGTCAATTCCCTTTAAACATTGACCAGAGGCTGGCACTATCACAGCACTTCTTCCTGGCTGTAGTACAGCGACAAAATGCAGTGAGGTAAATTAGTCAAATTATCTTCAAAGTAAACTAAAATACGTTACATGAAGCATGGATGTAATGGTCATTCACAGTTTAGCACTTGTCTGGTACTGGATGGACAGTAAAGTTAGAAAAAAATTATTTCCCACATGCTATTTTGCTGCACTGCGAACTTGCACTGAGCAGCTTGCATACATGTTTTTTTAACATCCCATAGACACAGGAACACTTTGGTCTCCTAACTGATTTGAAGAGTAGGATTTCATTTCTTACAGGGGAAAAAAAAATCCTCTTATTTGGTTATTCCACACAGTTATTCTAGAGAGTTTTGTTTGTCACCACTAATGCATGGTTTAGTGCTTACTCTCTGCTGCCTTCAGCATCCTTCTGCGCTCCAAGCAGAGCAGAAGCAGCACAAATTTATTGTCCTAGAAACTATATTGCTACACCCTTACCTCAAAACAGGCTCAAAATTGATCTTGGGTACTTGCTGTAAGTGCATTTCAGTGAGAGCACCATATCCATGCTCTAGATGTTTCTCATCTGTCTCCTCTTCATCTTGGAGAAGTACCCAAAAGCCACTCTATCCCCTTAAACCCCAAGTGGGAGTGGAGAGCCTTCACCAGGAAGAGCTGGGCTGCCTCTGCCCTCCCTGAAGCCTGTGAAGGATCCAAAAGGCCTCTGCTTACTGAGACAAACATCGGGTCAGAAGGTTTCTTCAAAATATCTTTGTAATGGAGAGGGCTGACAAGGAGGGAAAAAATAACAAAAAACAGAGGGTAGAGCCCTGCCACCAGCCACAAACGTGCCCCGCTCCCTCCCTGTGCTGCACCAAGCCAGAGCACTCACTGTAAGAAATGTATGGACCTTATAAAGAACGTGTGGATTCTATAAAGAAAAGCTGAAAAGGTTTCCCAGGGAGCAGAGAGCCAGAGAGATGAACTGCAGTTAACCTCTGGTCACATAGACCTGACCTTCTAGTTCCACCTGATGGTCGGACGCTTTTGTTTCTCAACCACGGAGAGCAGGTCTTGACACACAGCAGCTTTTAGGCTGTGATCTGATCTAGGTGGTCCTGCTCTGGCAGGGGGATTGGACTAGATGATCCTTTGAGGTCCCTTCCAATCCCTAACATTCTGTGATTCTGTGATTCTTTTTGACCCTCCGAATGCTCAAAACCAGAGCAAGTACAAAAGTAGCACACACGAGAGTTGCAAAGAAATCCTGAACTCCCCTTCAACTGCTTGGACTTGAACGTCACAAGACTGCATTTTATAAAGATCTTTTTTCCTACATTCACAGCTCCTCTATGTTTACAATTTTGTCAAAATTATTATAAAACGTTATTGTCAGTAGCAATACACAGAACAAATTTCTGTAAACAGAAACTAAAGCAGAAAATGGCTTTAAGTCATTTTTGACCAGCCAGCTGTACAAAATCTTAAGCAAAGCAGCAGTCAGGGAGGCTGGGTTTGGAAGAATCCACACTGAGTTCAGGAGATGTCAGGCCTTATTAGATCACCAAAATAAGCTGTTATTGTCTTCAGTTTGTTATTGAGAAAATTTTGTTCTATTTCAACTTTCCCTCCTGGCCCTGCTAAGGAAGCCACCTGAAAAACAAAGAAGAAAAAGCAAATCAGTCAATGCACAGGAAAAGAGGCGAAACCTCAAACCTTTTATTCACATGAAATGTCACATAAAACATATCTTTGCTTTGTTAATACTGGTGACAGTGTTCCTTGGCACCTAATGCCTCTGGTCCTCTTCCCGTGTCTCCTTTTGCTCACAGAAGTGGTTTGTGGTTTTCTCGTGATTGAAAAAACCCCCTCACCCCAAGCCATGAAAATAAGAGGACTTCAGAACTAAAGATAAATACTTATAATTTCACATGCCTTGCTGAGGTGAGACATGCTAGACTCTGGTTCGCAGGGTACTTGTCATTTGAGACACTCAGATAAAGCACAAAGCAAGTGGTAAACTGTGCTTTGAAGGTGTCAAGATCCCAAGTTTCGGGGGAAGAGTAAAACCAAACCCTGGGATTAGGAAGCGTAAAGGTTGCACTGAAGTGGGAGGAAACAACCCCAACACTCCAAACTGGCAGAGAAGCTCACATAAAAGTTAGTTTTCTGTTGTTGCTGCTGCAACCAAAAAAAGACACCGTTGTGTGGGTCGGAGTGTGGGGCAGTGCTGAGGGTCAGGCTGTGGCAGCGGAGTAGCTGCGGGCAGGGAGAGCCCCGTCAGGCAGCGCTGGTCCCAGTTCTCATGTTCACGACCACTGGAGTGAGAATTTCACCGTTCACGCTCTGTTGACTGAGCCCGGTGTGCACCTTTAATGCTTGATGGTTACAGACAGACAATGTTTTGAAGCGAACTTTGCATTTTGGACTGGAGCACTCAATACTCTCCCCTCTCCTGTTCCTGCTCACGATGCCTAGTACCACCCCTCTGAGGGACAACAGGGTACAGGCTACTGATTTCTCACCAGGACAGACTGCACACCCGGAAGAGAACACCAAAAGTGAGCATTGACTGCTTCTCCCCTTCATCCATCGCAGACCCCACGACCTGTGCTGCAGTGAGGGTCTCTGCTCCACAGCCGCCTCCGCTCCACGCTGCTGTTTTCCCTGCCTGCTGCAGAAAAACTACTACCCTATGCAGTGAAACTTCCCAGGTAGACATAAAGTGACCAAGGTCTACAACCCTGCAGTAGGATTTCAGCTGATCTTTAATCCAAGAAGTCTGTGATATTAGCAGCTGAAACTTAAAAGTTCAGGTTGCATTATTAACACTTCTAAACTCCTTTGAGACTTGACTCTGTAGTGCAGGTTTAAATATAAACACACTGAACTTCCTCTATTTTACTGTAAGTAAAAAACCAGCCTACTATCAAGAGGATATAACAGATTAATCTAAATTATACTTTGAACCTCTACTGACTTGCCCAGAAAATGACCACACATCTAAATCAAGCATTTACTTTGTTTTGTTTTTTTTTTCTTCTCCCTTTTCGCCTTTTGTTTGTTTCTGCAGACAAAAGCAAAATCGTGAAGTTTCTTCATCCTTCAATTTAATGGTAATAGGAAAAAAATCTCTACGTTCTTGTCAAAGAGGAACCTGCCACTTAAGTAAAAAAGCAGAAGCTGGCTGACTTATAAATAGCACAAGAATTCAAAATTGGCAAGTGATCAGGAATGTTAATTTTACAACTTATCTTTTCTTACTTGAAATCCTAAAAGCAGTTAACTGTGGGGCGTTCCATTTTTTTTTTTTCTAGGAAGATGTTAAGTTTGTACTTTTAGTTTATTATGGAAAAAAGCTGGAATGTCCCTTCCAAAAAGGGTTACAGGCTTTGCACTTTATAGCTAATGTCGTTTAAGTATTTTAAAATATTAATTGTATTAGTCAACTTAAAAATATTGAAATTATTATCTCAGCGTTAAGTACTCCCGCTTTCAGGGCACAATTTGTGTCATTAGCATATCGATGTCCACCTAATTCACTGATATTAAACACAAGTGTCTACTAAATATTTCTCTTAGAAGACCAAGTAAAGCAAAATGCTTCATCAGTAACACAGGCAAATGCCGCTCCTCTGCTGAGGGGTGGCACCCACCGAAGGACATCCGAGAAGTTACATACGCTGAGTCTAGTCTCTCAGTGTTAAATCCAGAGTAACCAAGACTAATCTCAAACGACTACTGAAAGTATTTGATAAACCCAACAGTGACAAAAATCTAATGAGCACACAGGCGTAAGCTCTGCAGGGTCCGGATCCAGCGCCGCACGCTCCTCGACGTGCCCAATATTCGAGTAGAGAAATACAAATCCTCTGTGACGATGCTTATTTGTAAATTGCTGGAGGTTGCAAATTTAATTACGTAGGAATTGCCAAGTTTTCCTCGGAAGGGCTCAGTCAACCCTGACAGCTTAACAAGGGAAAGCTGCCGCACACCAAGCTCTGGAAATGTGCCAGCTTGACAGAGGGACGCCCTCTACAGCAGATTGAGGAATGATGCTTTGAGAAAAAGGTGATCACCTATTTTTAGAAATACTAACATGCATCCCCGGTTTTTGAAGCAAACTACAATGGTGAGTACGGAAAGGCTAAGTTTCTTTAAAAAATAAGAAACAGGTGAGTCCAAAATATGTTTATTTTGCATTTTCTTGTGCAAACACGATTCCCTGCTGGCGACTCTCCTCATACTGGTTTGTTCTTTATCCCAAACCCACGTACTTGAGAGGGGCAGATATTGCCTCCTTTGCAGCGCTGGGTAATTCTGTAGGTGCCACACACCTCCCCGGGCAGAGGCAAAGGATGCAGCTTCAGTTAACGCTTCCCCACATCTCTGTCACCTGGGTGTTTCATCCTTCAGTTCACTGACTGCTGATGGAAATAGTCTACAGCTACAGATGCAGCCACAGAGCACTAAAAACACAGACAGCAGTTTGGTCTCAAGTTTAAAATAAGGGATATCAGAAAAGAAACATGAAAAGGGAAACGAACATGGAAGATTACTTCAGGAGCGCAAGTTGCTTAAGGTGCAAACTTGCTTTATATTGTTCAGGTGCATTTTTGAAGGTTTTCTTGCCAACCTTGGAGGTTTGTGGATTTTTTTTTTAATCATATTGAAATTCCTTTAGTAAAGTAACTTCCTATCTGTTCCAGCCACCAACTAAGGTTACTCTGTGGATAAAAGACTCTATCGTAATTTTTTCTCTCCTCCAAGAAACTTTTCTAGGGTATGAGAAATACAAGCTTTTTGGCTTAATAAGCAGTCATACAAGGACACTGTGATTCATTTCATTTCACAGAACACTAACAAAAAGAGGAACACCCTCCTCCTTCCCCAACTAACCTAAAGGCTAGGAGAAAATAAAAAAACCCTCAACCCACTTGGAAAAAAAAGGCAATGGTATTCTCTACACCGAACATAATAAACCAAAATGTTCTCAGGCAGCATTTTTCAATATGTACAGGTCTGCAGGTAAATAATGCCACTGCCACAGTGGTGCTGCCACTCTCCGACAGGCCAAAGAGTTTTGGTTTTTGCTGGTTTTTTTTGTGTGGTTTTGTTTTGTTTTTTTTTTAACTTGAGGTTAGCAAATTACAATTCAGTATTCAAGTGCTATGAACTTTAGGAAGACTGAATTCCAGAAGTGCCACTCTGGCTTGGTGTACGCTGGGAGTATCTTCTGGCTTTATCTTTTATCAAGGATAGAGAACAGATGTGAGTTTACAGTGGGCTGCTTAAAAGCAATTACATTCACTTTGAAATTATCAGCCTGCACAACACATTAACCCACAGCCTTTTACCTGCCAACTAAGCATCTTAAAAACACAATCAAATTTATCTGAATTTATCTCCTGGCCTGTCACTCCTTGCTTTGCTCATTGCTATATTTACTCCTAAATAAACATAACATTGCTTAGCAGGTGCCATTTGGCTAGGTCTCCAATCCAAAATCATAGCTGAATGAAAGGGGCCAGTGGTAGTTTTACTAGTCAGCCTCCCATCAAATATCTTAATTCACGGAGGTTACTGTATATTCTTTTATTAAACTGATATCTTTGGTATGATTTTCTTTTCTCGAAATGACACCAGATAGAATTTAAATAAGTGAGCTTTACCCATCTTTACGCTCCCTTCATTGACCAGTCATTTGTAACAACTGAACTTTCAAAAAACAGAAACACAGCAAGCATCTTCCTGTCTATACACTAGACTTGCCAAGAATGAGGCTTTAGTGTCTAACTCTAGATTCTCCCAAAATGGGTGACAAAGATGAGGTGGGAACAAAGGCAAGAAAAAAAAATTAGAAAAGTACCTGCATGATGTGTATTCTTGGCATGACTATTAGTGTCAAGAGCACTTTGCTTAATTCTAGGCTCAGGGAATCACTCTACATACTAGACAAGGAACAAAAGGTAATTTGTATCTCCTGGCAGTATTTGGAATATAAGCCAGGTCTGAGACACCAACATTTAGGACAGCAAAAGCTCCAACAACAGTGACATTTCACTGAATTATGCATAGCTATTACAAACAACAAAAATCCAAGCACCCGCCTCAAAAATCCAAACCACCCCAAACCCAGGAATCTACCCAATTTATGAAGTTTTACACCAGTCATCAAATCTTCAAATAGTAAAGATGCACATAAAGTTTTCAATACAGAAGCAGGAAGAGGTCTGAAAAGTGACTGCTTTTTTAAAAAAAAAAAAGAATTAACAGTGCATAAAGACTGAAGTAAACAAACCTTTCTGTGCCTCCAACCATGCTTCAGTTTTTAAAAACACAGTATCTTGACTGAATAAATGCAGCCTGTAAGAACTTCCTAGGGGAGACTGTGTTACAAACCTATACAACACCAAGCAGACTGCTGGTAGGTCAGTTCATGACGGACAGAACTACATCTGGCTGGTAACAAATAAATCACTAGCTGAAGCTGAGAGAGGCTGCCAATTTGCATTATGATTCCAGTTTATACAGTACCAGTCAACTAGTAGGAATCGTGGGAGAACACCACATAGACAGAAGAACTAGACAGAAGAGGGATGCCATCCAGAGGAACCTTGACAGGCTGGACAGGTGGGCCTGTGAGAACCTCA